CACACACACACACACACACACACACACACACACACACACACACACACACACACACACACACACACACAGAAGCGGACAAACAAAACACTTAAAATGAACAACAAAGATGATCCCCTTGGGAGCAACTGAAAAATGTATAATACGGGATCAGGCCCAACAATGAGCTCAGAGGTGCAAGATACTAGGTGCATATAACCCAACCCCACCTGCCCCAACACCAGACAGAGGGGCAGTTTTGTCGCTAAAAATGTTTTCAAGGGTTCCTGAGGCCTGCTTTCCTTAGTACACAGCCCCAGCCTTGTAGCAATGATCCGTCACCTTCTCCGAAAAGTTTGCACCTGGGGCCTTCCAGACCACAATGGCTGGCAGCGCCAGCCAAAAAAAGTAGAAAGTGTGCAGGTAACGGTTCGGAAAAGCTTGGCGTGCATTGGAAGGCTGCCAGGCCTGGGTGAAGTGGTGGTGGATTAAAGTTCATTAAACCACCATGACCCCCGCAGCACCTTTCCCAAACCGCTGTTTTTCCACAGCTACCAAGCCTCTTCATTTCGATGCGAGTCCAGAAGAGAAAATCAAAAATAAAACGCAGATCTACTTCAAAAAGGAAGATGCAAAGCCTAGTAGCCGTAATGAAAGAGAATGTGAACTGGCAGCTGAGAAATTATGAAACTGGAAGGAACAGGCAAAAGGAAAAGTTCATACATGTCACCCAACTTTTTTGGTGATGTGAGTTCACATTCCTCCTCAAGAACTACTGGCTCAAATATGTGCCCGCGTGGGCAAATACACCATTCCTTCCCCCAAAAAGGAAGGAAAAAAAGAACACTACTCCACTCCCAGAAGAACACCCGGTATGAGAGATGCTATGGATAGAAGGGAGGAAGCTCACATTCAGTCAGTTCAACTACTTCCAAACGAAAAATAAATTAACGGATTGGCGGATTGGTCAATTTGTCATCCAATTGCCTGATCGATTGATCGATTGATCGATTGATCGATTGATCTATTGATTGGTTGATTGGTTGGTTGGTTGATTGGTTGATCAACTAATTCATTGATAGGTTGGTTGATTGGTTGGTTGATTGGTCGGTTGATTGGTCGGTTGATTGGTCGGTTGATTGATTGATACGTTGATTAACTTGGTTTGTTAAAAATCCGAGTACAACCAGAGCATAATCACACTAAAGGTCTGGACTCTGGACGTAATCACTGTCAGATACACAAAAGCCAGAGTGTGAGCATGTCATCATATGCTGCAAAAATCCAATTGCAGACAAGCACACGACTGGCAACACTCTCAGGTTAAATGCATAATTGACTCAAGAATCTCCATCTCCATCTCCACCTCCATCTTGAATCGAGAATCAATGTCGGATGAATGTCCCCGACTTGCACTCTCGAGGCAGAACCTCCTTCACCTCCCCCATCCTCCACAACTTCCTCAGGTTCTCTACCACTTTCCAACTCCTCACACAGGACGTACAGAGAGAACACACCCCAATACTTTCCCCCTCCCTCCTCCAGCAGCACCGCCACACTCTCTCATGTGAAGTCTCTGTGCAGCAAAACCCTAAAGGACTTATTCGTTGAGCAACAATCATGGGAGCAAAAATAGCCAAGGCAAAAATAGCCAAGGCAAAAATAGCCAAGGCAAAAAATTGCCAAGGCAAAAATTGCCAAAGTAAAAATTGCCAAGGCTACGTCTCCATCACGGTTTTCCTCTTCTTCTGCCTCTCTCAGAGTCAGCTGAGCGTTACTACCATAGCCAGAGTCTGCGGGCCTGCTGGTGGGCAATTTTCACCCATCAACATAGCCAACCCTTCTCCTACACCCTCTTGCACCCCCTCCATAATAATCATGGGGGACTTGTCCCTCACCTGCAGCCCGGCATAGCGAAGTCCAACTGCTAGGCTCTGCCTGCTCCTCCTCGTGGCAGAGCAACAGTAAATTACTACCGACGTACGGCAGAGTAACTGTACGTACGTCGTATTCGGGTAAAAAAAAGACCGTGCGTACATTGTACTCGGGTGAAGAAGGTTTAGGGACAAGTGATATATTGAATGGCCGACTACCTTCTTCTTCACCCGAATACAACGTACGTACGGTCATTTTTTATTGCTGTATTTGGGGCATCTTTCTGTCCAAATACTGCAATAATGACCCTATGTCGTATTCGGGTGAAGGTGGTCCAGATGCCAAGCACCTTCTCTTCTGGTAGCTCTCAGCTCCATCCTCTGGGCCTATGCCTGTCTTCACCCGAATAGAACACAACACCCGGTCATTACAACCGTATTTGGTGCAATTTTCAGTCTACATACAGCGATAATGACCGGGCGTGTTCTATTCGGGTGAAGACGGTAGTTGCTTCCAGACCCTACAGGCCTTCCCGAATGTCAGAAAATCATTGCAGACTGCAAGCGCTCCCCTTGAATGATGATGCTATTGATACCCCCATGTCCCATTACCAGATTTCAGTCCTAACCCCCCATATCTACACCGTTTAACAAAACTACCCTTCCTCCAACATGGGAGCCATAGTGCGGACAAAGGGTTAGTAGTACTCAGACACGTGCAATTGACCCGGAAAAAAAAATACTAGAAAGACAAATTAAGCACATACTCACACTAGGACTTTCCTGGATGTATCTGACTGAAATTGAGGCTTTTCCTACATGCATCTGACCGGAATTACGTCCAAGGATGAGTTCAAATCTCATCATGGGGTCTCAGCATGGAGTCTCAGCATGGGGTCTCAGCATGGGGTCTCAGCATGGGGTGAGGCCCACTTCAGAGTGCAGTGATTTATCAGGCAACCAATGAAATTGCGGCTTNAATCTCAGCATGGGGTCTCAGCATGGGGTCTCAGCATGGGGTCTCAGCATGGGGTGAGGCCCACTTCAGAGTGCAGTGATTTATCAGGCAACCAAAAAAAAAAAACACTTCAGACATGCAAATCTCAGCATGGAGACATGAAAGGGCAGTGATTTCGCTTTTTCGTGAAAACAGGGTGGAAAAAAAAAGAAAAAAAGTGCAGCGACTTCTGAGTATTACAGAGACGTTCCGAGAATGTTTTCAGTGCTGATCACTGGGGCGAGGGCTGACTAACAAAGAGGATTATTGGATTAAGCACCTGTATCTCGACATGTTTTAAGCAGAGATGCAGAAAAGCAGTTCAATCTCGATGTTTTGCACCATTCCACAAACACGTCCAGATTCAGGCATCCAATCCAATCCTCTTTGCTAGTGCGACCTCGCCCCTGCAAATTGATCATCTTGATACTTGCTCTCACTCTAGTTAACCTTTTTCTTTTTTTTCCCTTTTTTTTTAATAATTTGGACCATTTCTCGGTTTATGCGTGTCATCCTTGCGCAGGGGCCATGCTAATCTTCTCTCTCTGTATCGTTCCAATTTTAACGGATGTCCCCAAGGACTAGTTAACCTTTTCTCATTTCGTTTTGTTTTGTTTTTTTTGGCTGTAAAGTTTTAACCTAAACGATAAATTAAAGAGGACATCATTCGATTGACAAGTAACTCAAGCCTCTTAATTCAACACGCACCAAGGCTACCAGAGTGGCCCGGGACCACTTGCCCGGTCGGCCCAAAAATAAAATAAAATATTTTAAAATTTTGGTAAAGAATTCCGATGTGACCCTGAGGCAAAAGTTGTTCCGCTTTTTTTTTGCGCGCGAAAAAGCAGTTCATTTTTTTACACAGCGTAGTTTTTCGGGTTTTAGAATTTCTTTGATTTCGTTCTTTTTTTTGCGGGAACCTTCCCTGGTCCTTGCACGGCCGGGACGCCCGGGAAAACAAGGTGTTTCCCGGGCGGCCCGGCTGGTAGCCTAGACACACACACACAAAAAAAAAAGGAGACACATGGATATAGTGCCACGGAGTACGGAGCATGATACCTACAAAAAAAAAAGGACATACCTGGTACTGAATATGAATCCAGTTGGCATTCCCAGGTCCATACACTTGATTCAAGATTGGTCCACATTTCTCAAACTCGCGGATGACACAATTGGTATCATCGGGGCCAAAACTGCAAACAGTTCGAATTGACAGCAAGTTAAAAAATTAACTCCATTGAAATTAACAAACACACACAAAAAAAAAAAAAACATGTTCGAATTGACACCAAGTAAAAAAAAAATAACTCGATTGACATTAACAAACACCAAAAAAAAAAAAAAAAAATGTTCGAATTGACAGCAAGTAAAAAAATTAACTCGATTGACATTAACAAACACAAAAAAAAAGACATGAACAGGGCACAGAGATAAGTAGTCAGCACTGGAATGAGAACTCTGGGAGATGGTAATTCAGGACATCCGTTAAAACTGGAACGTCCGTTAAAATGGGAACGATACAGAGATAGGCAATTAGCATGGCACCTGCACAAGGATAAGACAAAAAGAAACGAAAAGAAAAGAAACGAAAAGAAAAGAAATGTAAAGAAAAGAAAAGAAAAGAAAAAGAAAAGAAAAAAGAGGACACTGGGTTATGAGATTGTGAAGAAGAAAGAAGCCCCACACATTTCAAAGCAGCAGAGGTATTAAAAAAAATAAAAAAAAGTGGAGGGAAAGAAAGAAAGAACAAAGCAGAAACTCAACAAGAGGTGAGAACGAAAACTACGAATATCAAGAGAATAATAAAATATTCAATAACAGAAATCTCAATTATTAAATGATTATAATATGTTCTACATTAAAATAAAATACTACGAATATCAAGAGAATAAATACTACGAATATCAAGAGAACAATAGAATATTCAATAATAGAAATCACAATTAGTAAATGATTATAATTAGTTCTAAATTAAAACAAAATATAATTAGATTAACTATTAATCTCAATATTATAGTCATAGACTCTATGCATTATAGACTCCATTATTATAAAGTAATATAATAAAGTTAATGAACTTCATTGAAACTTATAATACTTTAAAATTTAAATTTCTAATTATAATTTTATTCAACAAAAATTTTAATTAGAATATTAAGTAAATATTTCGTTATATTATTCTTTTTTTTTTCCTTTTTTTTTTGAAAAAGCTGCCATCTCCTCATCCGGAGACAGCCATATATTTTTTTTCTCTCACCTCACATATTTTTTAACTGCCGTTCTGCCATGTCATCATGGAACCTATCTTTCATCGTTCACTACCTACTTACCACTACTCCTAAAGCTATACAGGGGACCCCTGCAAGCATTGCTTTCTACCTCTCTCCGGTGAAGGGAGGTTACCTCTCTCCGTGGAGAGTGGAGAGAGGTAACGGCATGTTTGCCCCTTTGCCCTAGCGTTAAGGGTGCAAGGTTGGGCCCGCCGGTGGGGGCCCCGGCTAACACAAGGACCGAGGATTTGCCAGTAAAAGTAACTGTGCCTCCCTTCTCATCTTTTAATTTATATATTGTCACATTGTGAATCATAGCGCAAAAAAGGGGAAAGAAAAAAGGAAAAGGAAAAAAGGGGGAGGGGGAAGAGGTAAGGAAAGCTCCACCCCCCATCGAGTAAAAGTAGTGCGTCTAAAGCCAACACTCTCCGACAACACACCACACGCAACCCACTCACACACGCACTCACAACATCTCCAGCACGCGCGCAACCAAAAAAAAAAAAAAAAAAAACATCCGCACGTGGATTGCATCTTTTTTTTTTTTATCAGAACAGATACTACACGTGACCTTAGTCAAAAGGCCGAGAAAGGTATATTGGACGTGCGATGCATCTTCCCGTTACGTCGTCGTAAGTTCAACTGGCATACTACCAACAAACAAACAAACAAAAAAA